CCAGTATAACTGCACCTACATGAGGGTTTTTTACCAGTATAAAAGTGCCAGAGCCTCCCCCCCCCAACCTCCGCCTCAGTCCCTCCTTCATACTTCAGATACGAGTTTCTAGTGGAGACCTGGTTGTAATTTGTATTTTGGAGCAAATCAAAGTGTTGTGGAGGAAGGGGTAAAGTGTTATATAAAAATTACCTTGGAACCTGTTCTATATGTGTGTACATTGAATACAATGCTCTCCCCATGCACAGCATAGTTTTGTCTGGGAATTCTTTACTCTGTTCACAGGGGTGTGGGTTGTAGCTGTCTTGTTCTAAGGACATCAGCAGACAACGTTTGTTGGGTAAATCTGATAGCTTTTATTAGACAAACTAAATAGTTGGAAAAAAAATTTTAGCAAGCTTTCGGGCACAAACACCCTATGGGGGAGTGTCTGCAGATGGTCTATGTTCTTTTCGGATGGAGTAGCAAAGCAGCCAGAGGCCAGTACATACGCAAGAAATCCAATAAAATGTGAACAGAGGTGGTCAGTAGGTGAGAGAGGTGGGGAGAAAGGCAAATGAATGTTGCTGTAGTCAAAGGATGAGAGACGGAGGTGGGGGGGGATGAGAATAGCTGGTAAAAAAAACTTAACTTATGTAGTGAAACCCGTTGCGACTGTGGAAGAGGGTGGCACTATCCCTGGGGAATGTTGTGAGGGGCAAAAGCAAGAGAGAGATCTCCACACTTTGTAGTGAGGAGGAGGGGGTCCTATGGTGTGATGTGCTTTAATAGCTGTGCAATGAAAAGTGAAAGATTGACAGCAAAATGTAAGTCACCTGAGTTCAGAGCTAAGGGAACCTCTGCCTCTGAGCTGCACCTACAGAAGATTCTGTATTGCTGGTTGAGAAGCATCTACAGAGTGCTGACAAAGTTATCAAAACATATACAATATAACCCCATAAATCTGGATATCAAAAATCTGGCACTTTCTAAAAATACACTAGATCAGGGAGTAGTGGCAGCTGGTCCTGGAGCAGTGGAGGGGAAAGCTTGCACATGGCGGCCACTGCTGCCATCCACCACCCTGTGCTGCCACTCTGTGTGGCGCTGCTGTGTTGGGACTAGCTGTCGCTACCCTCCCCTTGCCCCCTCTCTCTGTGACCAGCCGCTGCTCTGGTTTAAAAAAGACAGAATTTTCAAATTTCCGGCAGGTGCTTGGTCCCGAGGTTGTACTGTACTTTGGAGAGCAGGAAATGTGCATTTAAAAAGTCTTGGTCAATAGATCAGATCATGACATCAATAAAAACAGTTCAAATGTACAAATATCTCAACAGAGGTAATGTCTTCCTTTTGAGTGTTTCACTAAGCAACTTTAATGCTCATTTACCTTAGTTATCTATAGGTAGATAACTAAGTAATCTTAGTTAAGTGCAATTTATCCTGCTAACAGATAAAGAAGGGGAGCACTGGTAAAAAAATTTAAGTCTTGCAATGCAATAGCTCTAACTTGCCTGGGTCCTATTGTTAAACAAAATATTAGCTCATTAATTACACTGCACAGACGGATGATGTTTCTCCACTCAGTAACAGAGGTATCGGAAAAAGTAGCTTAAGGAACACAACATTCAAAACAATCACGAGGAATGAAATCTGTAATTTATTTTATTACATCTTGGTTGTGTTGTTAAAGCAATGAATTTTACACAGATTGTTTAGCCATTTTCTGCCATTCTTCTGCACTGAAAAAACCCCAACACACCCATTATAGAAAGACAAAATGTAGGGAGAAAAATGTTAAAACAATGCATTTCCTGTTTCAACAAACACTAAAAAGGAAGATGCTGCCAGCAGTTGCATACTTGTTTGTTTTATTAATGGTTAGTGGTTCATTTCACAAAACTCTGAAATACATTGGTACAGGTAGCAAAACTCAATATAGATTATACTAAATGTAACCATTTTTCTTTCACTAAACCTTCCATGTAGGCAGAATATTACTGATATCACTTGGACTACTAATTTATCAAACACCCAAATGGAAAGAATCAGGTGAATGATGGGAACTCTTAGATACAAGCTGATCCCATATTTATTAATAAATAGATATGCAAAAGGAAAATGACTTTAATGTGACATCTAGTAGCAGATATTACATCAAAAGACTTGTGTATGTATTTTAAAATAACATGAGGCAGCACTGGAGCAGATATACATGTTATTATTATAAATCTATGAATGGAAAAACCTACGTAACAAATGTTTCTGTGCTTTGAAATGGTGATAGGTTTTAGCAGAATTTCAAAGCCAACCAATATCTCCAGAAAGTGGCTTGTAAAACAAGTGTACTGGGGAGCTTTTTTAATGCTAGCTTTAATTACACATACTCACACTCTTGGAGCAATTGTAAACACTAGCAAGAAGCCTAGGAAAACAGAAATTAAAATGGTGTTGTGAGGTAGGGAAGGAATTTCCTAGGAATTTAAATAAAAATATCAGTACATTATTAAATGTTAACAAATCCTTTTCCTCTACTGCTTCTAAAACATAGTGCTAACTGTCAGCTTTAACATCTGTAGAAATACGAGTTGGAAGCAAACTGGTCATATTTATCTCTACATAAAATCAATCTGAGTAGTCTAGATGTCCACTAGTTTCAGTTTAATAGACTAATTTTAAATTTAAAGTAATATGTATTAATACTCTAGCTCTGATTCTTTAGACCTCTGATCAAGTTGTTTCCTCCATTAAAGAAGTTTATTCCAGTTGATTGCATCAGCGCATACATGGAAACGGGTGAATATGGAGTGGAATGAGGACCAAAGAACTTCTATTCTGGCATTTATTTGTACATTGACTGGATTTCTAGGTTCTTTCCTAAAATAGGAAATATTTTCAAATCGTCTTAAAACTGTAAATGTTTGTTTCTTGAATTACTTCAAGTACAACAGGTTGCATGGAAATACTAGGAATAATGCTGTATGTGCCATAGTTCTAATTACTAAACAGTAATTCACAGCCTCAGAATTCTGTTGTAACAGAGAAGGTGGAAAGGGGGAGGGAATCCTCTAAAGCTTCACAAATACAATAATGGGAGCCTACAACTTTTACTTAATAATGCCATGTGTGCTATCACCACTCCACAAGTTGTTTACAATACCAGTGGTTGACTCCTACGTAGTACTGAGAACAAGTCTTGGAATTTTACACTTCACTGCCCTTTCTCATGAACATAGGAGAATACCAAATTAGATAATCCATGTATCAGAAGTGACATATGTAGGATCTACTTTTTGCTACACAATCCAAGATTCTTAGCTCTTGGCAATTAGCTGGCACTTCAATTTTTGGTCCTAAAATGCCTTCAAATATTTCAGTAAGGTTAGCTGTACAGTGTAAGTCTGAAATGAAAAAGCCACATTATGGTGTGGCACAGAATGATCCATAAAAAAGGATGCTCTTGCTAATTAAACACTGATGTTAAAAAACAAAATAACAAAACTGTAACCAGGCAATTTAAACACCAAGCAGTCTTCTCCAATTTAGTGAACGTTAGATTAGCATCAAAAATGACATCAGGCACTAACCAGCTATTCCACAACAGCTTGATGTTAAGCTAACAGTGTAAAACTGACCAAAGCCAGGTAACACCAGCTCTGAGAAAGTGAAATATTGTTTCACAACTAATTTACTGCTTCCTATTCCTAATACTTACCTTTTTGTCCTAGTATGTTGTCTGCTGAAAAATAAGTGAGGTTGGGCAGGAGAAAAGATTCTTTATAAAATGTTGAAAGGACATTACTGTACTTTGTAGCCACTTGTGAACAGTCCCTCTTCTTTTCATCCTCACAGTATTCTTTGCAGGAAGCTGCAGGGTAGGGTTTTGTATTTGAACTAAAATCACCATCTACCATAGTTACTCAAATACAAGACAAGGTTTTTGTCCCCAATTGGCACAGGGGAAAAAAGCCCCTCATCTTTTAATTGCATACAAGGACATTTCACTAAATACATTGTTTATCATTAAACTGCTGCCAAAAGCAGCATGTGCTCAGTAATAGAAAACAACCATGAAGCTGATTAAATGCAGGCAAAACTGAGCATGACTATAAAACACATGCCCCATAGGCCACATCCAGACAAGGGTGGCTGTGCAGTATATGGCACCACAGACATGTCTGCAGTGCCACATACTGCACACCCAGCAGTTCTCTGTGCTGCAGGGCAGCACCATGGGTTGTTTTTTTTTGATCCCTGGATATTCAGGGGTAAAAAAAAACCTGTACCAAACAAAGTGGAGCAGTGCATGTAGGGGCAGTGCATGCCACTTAAAACTGAAGCCTGGCCAGCCAGGCTCTGAGTGGCAGGATCTCTGCTGATGCAGCCTTAGGAGGCCTCCAGAACCCCAGGTAAGGCTGCTGAGGCCAGCCCAGTGCTAGCCTCAGCCTCCCCTACCCCACCCACGTTAATCTGCCATGCCCCAAAAGGCACATGGCACAGGTGTTCCCCAGGAACAACTAGTGGTGGCACAAGGTAAGCCACTGTAGTTGTCCTCAGGGAAACAAACGTCCACACGTAGGCACATGGCCATACTGGGCAAAAATGCTGATGGGAACCTACCACAAGAATAGGTTAGTGCAGCTCATTTGAATAAGACATATGGTAACTCCCCTCACTGTTGACTGTTTTAATTCAAGGGGAGCCATGACATTTTTAATTACTGGGGGCTTGTCTTATAATCAGGGTTGTCTTCTACTTGAGTAAATACAGTACTTCAATGAGACCAGAATTTGACCATTAGCCCACTGAACAATGGTTTCCTTCAATTTTATTATACAAGTGAAATTTGCTCTACATTGCTGGCCAGATAGCATCCTGGCAGCTTGATGGGTTGATGCTTGATGAAATTACTCATGCTGATATTAGAAACTGATTAAAATGCTTAATGATTTCCCTTGATTTTAAATTGCTAGCTCAGACTTGCGAAATACTACCAAAGTATTCCCTTCATTCCCACTTTTTTCCCTGCTTCTTTTTAGTCTTTTCTCTGTTTCTTCTATACTTAGAAGTTTATGCAGCCTGGAAATACCATGACCATAAAAAAACTGAATGTTGATGAATTATGCACTTCTGGCTCCACAATACACCCCAAATCACTATTTAACAACAAATGCAAGTCACTTCTTTAATGTACTGGATGGGTCCAAAGATTAAAATATATTTTAAACTAATCTATTTTTAAAGGTGGAGAGTCAGGGGACTACTAGTGTAAAATAAAAAGGATTTCCAGGCCCAGGGTGAACACAATGATTTTAAAATATTTGTTTCTTAAAAAAAAAATCTCTAAGAAATCAAAACATTGATAAAACCTTTTGTGTTTGGGTTTGATCACAGACAAGCATGATGCAGGAGAGCAGAGTTACATTCTTATGATGGCAGTCACCATTTGTCATGCTTTCCTCATGCAAAACTTTGTACCACACTATCCATTAGTGAAAATTTAAGATATGTCACAATGGTAGAGAGACAATCATGTTAACTCATCCTCAAATACTGTCAGCGTCTAGAATTGTCAAATTTGGATATTTTGCCTGAAATGGCATAACTGCAGCAGTTGTCTAAGGTTTTATTATTTCCTTGATAACCAATCCCATCAGGCCACTTCCAATGAGTGAATGGTGCCAAACAATGCTTGCTCAAGTACTAAAATCTTGTCAGAAGCTTTTAGGAAAAATAAACGAGTTGTATTTTGGTTTTATACCTACCATAAACTTTCTTTTAAGACCACAGAAAATAATAAAAAAGTACACTTTTTTTTTCTATTTTAGCACCATTACGAAGTCAGGATCTAAACCTCAATTTTGCCACTGTGGTTGTACATTGCAGCTCATAAGCTGGTGTAGCCGACAGAAAGCATTTAGGCTTCAGTACTTTAAAAGTGAAGAATCACTGGATTTGCTGATGACCAAGTACAATAAAGGTTTTAGCTTTTTTAGATTTAAATTAAGTTTGATTTTCCTGACGCCTGTACAGCAGAATGCTTTTCTGGGATGCTTTTCTGTCAGCTAAATCCAAGTCCAAGTCCCTTTGGTCTCTGGATTGCTCTTATAGGTTCTGATATTCCTTTGCCATCTGGTCCAAGGCCCGTGCCAGGAGTCCAGCCCATACTTTGAAGCATTCTGTTTCCAATGTTGTTTTCTGGGATTGGCTGTACGTTTTCACCTACAAACCCTGAGATTAAAGAAACACAGAGCATTAATCAGAACTGCCATGTGGAGAAGAGCAGGATAATCTCCCTTAAAGCCTTAAACCTTCTTATTCTCCTAATTCATCTAATAGATTGCTAGAACAGGCTGTCTTTGCACATGCTGACCTCATGGCTGCATACTGATTCCAGGCAGTATAGTCAAATGTTTCTTTCTTTTCCTTTTCTTTTTTTTTAAGGGAGGCTCAATTTTCAACCATTACAAAAAATCTTTGCTGAAGATCCTTTAACAGTTCACAGGATGTTAGACTCAAAATTCATAACTGAAAGAAATCTACCAATGTCTAGACAGGGCTACTAAAGTATATGACAACACATAGATATTGAATGTATGAATAAGTGCCATTACACTCCAACTCTCCATTCCTATTAATGCTCCAAATGCTCTTTGACCAATGGGCGTGCTGAAATATTTAATATAAAATAATCATTTGTGATATGAGTATTATATGTGTTATATACACCCCAATTATGTGCAGAAAAATTCAAAGGTATGAGCTGAGTTCTGGGGGCTGCATGTGGCAGCATGGAGCTGGCTCAGCTTGGCCTGCTGGTGCATGCATTCGAACCAGACTGGGCTGGCTCTGTGACAGCATGTGGGGCTTGAGGCACTGCAGGCAGAAGCTGTGTGCCACTGGCCCAGGTCGGCTTCAGCAGCCTGCCTGTTTCAATGGCATACAGACCAGGAGCCAAAGAGAGTTGTGCACCATCGATTTGGGCGGACTCCGTGCCTCCACATGTGGCTTTCCTCTGGAGCCAGGACAGGCCAGGCCAGGCCAGCCCAGCCCAGCCCAATGGTGCGCAGCTCCCGTTTGCAGTGCCACAAGTCTCACATGCAGCCAGCCTGGTCTGGTCTGAAGGCACATGCCAGTTGGCCGGGCTGGGCCAGATTTGTGTTGCTGCATGCAGCCCTTGGGACTCAGCTGGAGTTGCATGCCGCTGGGGAGCTCTGCCTGCTGTGGCCATGAGTACCCTGAGGGCCTGCTGCTGGCAGCTGGTGCCACTGGCAACAGGGGCTGTGCACCATGCAGATACGTGTGGCATGGGAGGCCAACACCCACCCATACACACCCCATACCTCTACAGCAGGCAGGAGCTCCCCTCCACACTCACCAGCTGTCCAGCTGCATGCTACAACACTCAGTGCCTCCACATGGGGGTCTCAGCTAGAGTGCCTGGAGCCCTGCAGAGGTGGTGACACAGAGCCTGCCCAAATTAAATTAGGCGATATTATGTAATAATGCATGGACATACATTTTATGCGCAGAATTACATGGGCCCATAATTGCGTTATTATCCAGGGTGTAATTATATATTCTATAGCATAACAATACTATGTATGGTCTAATAAAAGATATCACATCTACTCAAAGAACCTTGCCTGCCTACGTATGATTATAAACTTAATGGAATAATTTATTATTAAATCTCCACAGCAGCAACAAAAGCTAAGCAGACAATTGGCCTGTCTCCACTCCTTTGAATCCTAGGTCTATAAATTTGCTTTACTAAAAATTACAGAATAGAATAAAGCACAGATATCAAAGTTGGGATGGATAGTACAGAAAACAAAACAGCTTCAGCTTACCACCATGCACTATTTTTTAGTTTTGGTTATTGATTTCTGTGTTATACTCTACTGGAGTAATTTTTAAAATCTTCATAGCCTTAAAATTCTCTTAAAAGTATTTTCCTTACACATCCAGCTCCTGGACACCACTAAGCAAAATACTTTTGCCATCAGAAAATATATCTGTGATAGTGAATAAAGTTTGGGTGACAACCAGCTAGGAAGAAATTCTGATCCTGTTGACACAGCAGTAAGAGTTAGTTGACATTAGCGAAGGTGTTCTGTATTTGTCAGCATAACTGAGAATACAGTCTAGTCCATGGTTTGTGAAGTGCTTTATAGGAGATAGAAATATTCACTTTGCTTTTTTTTTTAATAAAAAGAAAAAAATGGTTATTGTATGTCATCAGGTACAAGGAATCCTTAATTCATACCTTCTTTTAGTCTAGTGCTGTGACACACTATGGGTTTTATTCATGTTTTGATAATACTGCATGACTGTTTACCTCATTTGTCTGTGCGTAGAGAAAGTAAGGTTAATAGGGTCCCTGCTAAGTGTCAAAGCTATGAGCAGGAAGAGACAAGATGGAGCTCCAGCATCAACAAACTTGAACAGTTTTGCTGACATGTCAACAAAAGGTGGGGATTACAGGTAACAAGGAGGAGATGTCCAGAGGAGTTGGGGGGGGGCAGGGGGAAGAGACAGATGTCCCCTTCCTTACCATAAAAATTGTTATGCTACCATGAAGGCCAAGCAAATAGACATCCATGCCATTTGTTTTCTACAAATACCCAAAATTTGTGCCTGCAACAAAGGTGATTTTAATTTATGCCTTTTATTATGGCTGATGTCTATTTGCTTTGTGGTGAGAGTGCGGGGAGCCTGGAGCCCTGGGGTGGGTCCCCTTAAAGGTGTGTGTGGGGTGGAAGTCAGGGCTTTCCCACTTACAGGGATGTACCCCCAGGATCTCTGGGGAGGAGGTCTCTATAAGCAGGGAAACCTAGGCTTTCTCTGATTATGGATATGTGCCTTTGTAAATGGTAAAAGCTGGGCAAGTGCTCCCAGGGCCTGAAGGGCACAATCTTATTTGGGAATTCCTGGGGCATGCAAAACCAGGGCCCCTCAAGCCCCATGAGAACACGTTGCCCATTGTCCTGCAGTATCAACAGGCGGGACAATGGATAATGTGCCCTTTGCCCAATGAAGTGGATCAGCTATGTCAGGACACATCTCAGCACAGGCAATCTGCTTCATTTGAGGATGTCTATTCCTAGTCTGGGATAAACATGACAATGGGAGAGCACACTAAACAAACAGGTTTCTGGGGAAGGAAGGGGTGGAGTGGAGGGGAGAGTCTAGAGTCTGAGATGAGTGAGCAGTAGTGGAGATTTGGGACTCAGGGCCTGGAAAGACTAGAAAAGGAACAGGTAAGCACCTCTGAGAGTGCCCATGGCTGGGCAGGCTGGGCTGGGGACTGACAGGCTGCTTAACCCCTTTGGAAGCAGGGGGCAGAGAACCTCTGGCTGGGTGACTTTTGCCCCACTAAACACCTTTACTGAAGAGACTGACTACTTTACTGCTTGAAACTTTGGGGTGCATTGGGACTTCTTAGTAGAAGGTAAAGTCCCTCTCAGTAGCCCTGGATGCTAGCTTCTTGAGTCAGGGCATGGAGAACCAGGGAAGGCAAGAAACCAAGAGGTCAGGGTCTCAGAGTAGGAAGGAGGCTGGGCCCTCCTCCCCCACACTTTAGAAGCTACACCTGGGCTAGCTTTGGCTGAGGCCAGACACCAGGCAAGGCTGCAGTGGTCCCAGGCAAACACCCCATTGGATGGCACTCCATGACAAGCACTACTGTGCAATATACTGGGCAGTGGCTTTACAAGGAAATGTAAGTCTCAAATGCATTAGACCGGGAATTTCAATTTTAAAGAAAGCCAGCTGCTATGCTTTTGAGCATATTTTCTATAAAAATAGGTTCTTAGTTTCATTATTCCTTATTTTCAAGCAGGGGAGGAAGGAGGACCCGGGTAATTATAGGCCAGTTAGCCTCACCTCTATTCTCAGCAAGACCTTAGAAAAATCATAAAGGATCACACTTGCAGGGGGCCAGTGGTTAACACCATGGTAAGGGGCAACCAGCAAGGGTTTACAGCAGGCAGATCCTAACCGACTAACCTGGTCTCTTTTTATGACCAGGTCACAAAGTGCTTAGATGCAGGAATGGAAGTAGATATTATTTACCTGAATTTTAAAAAGGCTTTTGACACAGTGTCACACCCAATTCTTATGAGCAAACTGAGTAGCTGTGATGTGGATTATTTCACAGTAAGGTGGGTGAAAAGCTGGCTCATGGGACGCACCCAGAGAGTGGTGCCGGATGGGCTGGTTTCTCCCTGGAGGGATGTAGGCAGTGGTGTCCCCCAAGCCTCTGTCCTTGGACCAGTGCTGTTTAATATCTTCATCAATGGTTTGGATGAAGGTGTTGAAAGCACCTTGTCTGAATTCACAGATGACACTAAACTATGGGGTACAGTTAACACACTGGAGGGCAGGGAGCAAATTCAGGCAGATTTGGACAGACTGGGGAAGTGGGAGGATCAGAATAGGATGCAATTTAACACAGGTAAATGCAAGATGCTGCACTTGGGGAGAAAGAATCTCCAACACACCTACAGACTGGGAAGTACCATTGTGAGTACCATGGCAGTGGAAAGAGATCTCAGAGTCCTGGTTGATTCAAAAATTAACATGAGTGTGACGAGGTAATAAGCAAGGCTAACCGCACTCTTTCTTGCATTAGCAGATGCATCACAAGCAGGTCTAGGGAAGTGATAATTCCCCTCTATGTGGCATTAGCGAGGCTGCAGATGGAGTACTACATCCAGTTTTGGTCACTGCACTTCAAAAGGGATGTGGACAACCTTGAGACGGTCCAGAGGACCTACTCATATGGTTGAGGGCCTGTAGGGAAGACTCTATGAAGACAGACTGAAGGACCTGAATCTCTTCAGCCTCTGCAAGAGAAGGCTGAGAAGTGATCTTGTGGCTGTCTACAAACTCATCGGGAGGGCCAGCAGGGAATAGGGAGCACTCTGTTTACCAGGGCGCCCCTCGGGGTTTCTAGAAATAATGGCCCCAAACTGAAGGAGAACAGATTTAGATTGGACATAAGGAAGAAATTCTTTATGGTAAGGGTTGCCAAAATACGGAATGGGCTTCCAAGGGAGGTGGTGCTCTCCCCTACCTTGGAGGTGTTCAAAAAGAGATTGGATAGGCATCTGGCTGAGGTTACTTAACCTCAGCGCTCTTTGCTGCCTGGAGCAGGGGCTTGGACCCGATGATCTGCCAGGTCCCTCCCAACCCTAGAAATCTATGAAATCTATTCCCATGGTATT